ACAGTAAAGCTTTACAAGACTGATGCCTTTTGGCTGGTAGGATTCTCCTAAACTCACTAGGAATCACATTCATATAAGGTATGGATACAATTCACACCTTGGACCTACTCCACGTGTAGTCACAGTTAAATGTATGGTGTGCCTTCATTCCAATTGAATCTCATTTCTCTTTATTTATATATCCTGGTGTTCTCTAATGCATGTCACATTTCTAAACATGCACTGACATTTCTATATGTTTTCACACTGTTCATCTGTTACTACTGTTGATAACCACAGTGGGTAACATGCTTGGTAGCATAAACTGTTTGTGACACTAATGCACTACATTACTTGCTAAATGATTCCTCAAATCTTTGTAGCCACATTCACACTGATTAAACATAGTATGTGTGATGGTACCTCTCTTTTCCATTTAAATAAGAAAAAAACAAAAATAATAGACTTTGCTATTTCCTAATTTTCCATCAAATGCAAGACAAATAGCTCTGAACCTTCATCCCAGACTGCTAAACAAGCTTTCAAATTCTGATGTCATTTTTCCATGTGTTTTTAGTAATGAAAATGAGTGCTATAAAAGGGAAAAAAAAAACCTAAGTTCAGATTTTCTTGCACTCGTTAAAATTGTTGCAGAGGAATATTTTTAAACAATTCTGATTCAGGTAAGGGCCTTTGCCATAACTAAATTTAGTGAAAGTGATAGCTAAAAATAAGGACATTGGAAGACTTTCAAGCATGGCATTCACCATGAATATTCTGCCATTATGATATTTCAACAGATTTGGAGTGAGCTGTGTGAACATATCTGTAGTCCAACAAGTGTCCAGCTGGTAATAATATTGTATCAAAATCCAAATGAATATATATGAATCACTGGATTCCTTATAGTAAATCTCTTTCTCCTGCTTTGGTAACGTCTAATGGCTTTTATAAATGTGGTCATTAAATGTGATTTCTTTCCTTATTTATATTGGCAGTGCAAATCTGCCTAACTATCAGCCAAATTTAATCTCTCTCATAATATTTTTCCAATCACAAACACCATTGCATTGTTCTCTAGAGAATTATGTGATGGATCTATCTATCTATTTATGTGTTCATGAATCAAGCAGTCCAACTCATTGGAGTTAAAAAAGTTTGTATAATCTATGGCTTTTATAAGAGTCCACTGAACTTATACGTCTCTGGGGACTTCCAGTAATGCCACGTTATTGGCACAGTCCTCATGCAAACCCACTGTACAAAACTACTTACAATGTATGAATATTTCGGTTATAAAAGTAGTCAGAGTTTATGTAAAAATTAAGACTTAAAATATAGCTGTACTTCTGAGTTGCAAAAGTTTCCAGCAGTATATACACCTTTAATGGGACACTGAGTCAGAAACTGATAATCTAAGTACCCCTAAAGTAGACATATGTTGGATTTTTTGTTACTGAGATGTTAATTACTTTTCTAATAAAGAATAATATAAAGTAAAAATAACAACACTTACTGGGAAATATTTTCCTGGAACCGCATTGGATAAACCTTAATTTAGCTGAGTAGGATTTAAGTAAATAGTCCCATTGAAGCCTTGTGGGTATATAACAACTTACCGGCACTGGGAATTCAGGAACAGATCTGCATGCAAGCAGGCTATAAGTCCCATATAGAGGTACCTTAATTAATTATTGTCTGTAAAATGGGATGAAAGACATTCTAGCAATGCCAGGTATTACTGAAAACAAGTTGGTGCCCATAAAGTCTAACTAAGCACTGTTCATTTTTATTTAGTCTGATGTTTTAACAAACCCTGTTGCAAAATGATATTATTTTCATTATATATCAAATTAACAAGGCTATTGTAAAAAGGACTCAGCTGCAGTACACAAATCCTATACAATTAAGAGGTACAGTCAGAGGGGGCCTTAGATCCCCATACCTGGGAAGATGAAGGCAGAAGACATCATGTTGAGGGATGTGCTGTTCATTCTCTTGGAAGGATCAGCTTACATTTTCACTTACAATATCTCCTTAATGGCCAGACCAAGAACTGGCATTTGTGCTGGTGCCAGAGGGACTGCTTGTTTACCAACTGGCTAAAGTAACATGCTGCAGTGGTTAGAGACAAAGAAATTGAGAAATACAGTACAAATTCATGGGATACAAGGACAATACAAACTGCTCTAAATGCAGTGGGGTCATGTTAATGCCAGCAAATCAATCACTCTAAATGCTATTCATCATTCTATCAAAGGAAGGCTAAAGACGTATATTATTTATACAAGTCTGAAATCATTTTATGTTACTTACTGCTGAGTCAACTTCTGAATTGATAGGGAGCTCTTCTATCTCTTCATCTGCATACTGGACTAGCAGACATACTTGATAGATAGTTGTGTCAAATATTAGATCAAAGCTAAAGTAAATTAAATAGGCCCCATTATAGTATCGCCACCTACATAAGTAACAAGTGACTTTGTTTTAAATTTCACACTGTGTAAAGAGATTAAAATGGTTATTATTAGTTTTATTAAGAGAGTTAGCTATCTAATCTGTCTAGCTATTTCTACTACCACAGCATGTCTGAGCACCTTTACAACTCTCTTTGGTCCAAATCATCCGCTGTGCTTCTGTGAGCAGAAAAGACCTAAATCTAGCAAATATCTCCTGGGAGGCACAGAAAGAATGGGGGAGGCACTATGCAGTAGCATTCTAACATCTCTTGGGGCCCTATGAAAGCCCCTGTGCTAGAGCTCTGTGAAGCCATCATTTATATAATTTTATGTGCAGTGCAGTACTATCAAGGCTCCATTGTATAAGGCTCGGTACAAACATATCAAAATGGGATGGTCCCTGCCCCAAAATGCCTAAAATCAAGTTTAAGACAGGAGATTGAGATGGGAGGGAGCACAAGGGGACAGATTGCTGTGAAAAGTGGAGTGAGCAGTAGTTACTGAAAACCAGCTGCACCATCCCAAAGTGACTCCCAATATGGGTATCCAATTGGGTTCTAATGCTACCTATCCCCTCCCTGCCTGCTAGTGTTAGTGTGTAGCTACAGGGGCACTCGGCCAACGACAGCACAGGGGTGCCAGGAGAAACACCAGTACCGTGAACAGAAGATTGATTCTACTTCTAAGAAGATTGATTCCCTTCCCTCTGCATCACCAAGATCAGTGAAGATCAGGGCCTATTTCCATTGTTTCCACCAAAATCCCTCTCAATGAAGAGCCCATTATCTGACAGCTCCATGAAGTCAACCATTCAGTTTCCTGGCCCTCCTTCCTCCTGCATCTTATAGGAGGCGATCCAGTCTGTTATTATAGTATGAACTCTGGGTAAATATATAATCTGGTTCTCCAGATTAATGCTGATGTTGTTTCTTTTAACTAAACTAACCAATTAATTTGTAGTGGATGAATAGATGAATTTGCAGCATAAATAGCAAGTGGTGTGCCCAAAAAATTTTCTGTGTTAACAATCAATAATGGTGGGATTTCGCACTGCACATTTACCAATTTACTTTGTAAACTCTGAAACTGATTAAATCCTTTATTAATACTTTGAGCAGGTAGGGATTGGTGAGACTTGAACCTCGACCTACAAGATAACCAACATCCTCACACAACCATCTCACAGCAGCTACAAGCTGGCTGCTCACTATGACCCATAATTTGCAGAAGTTGCACAACCTTTGAAGATCCACCTTGAATGATCCAACTAACAGTTGTCTTAGAGATCCCTTATTAGATCCTTGGTCCAATGAAAATGGAAGGGGCATACCAAGACAACACTGGATTTCTAGCTAGCTGTCATGGTTGTCCTGCTTCACTGCTGCTGAACTCCCAGTATCAACCTCAGCTCTGAATTAAATCCTGAATCTTGCCCAATCCCTGTCACACCAAGACTGACCCTGAAGCCTGGTTTTGACTCTGGCTTGATCCTTGAATCCATTTCTGGATTTAACCCTCATCTTGCCTCCTCACTTGGACTCTGGTTTTGGCCTTCAATTTCACTCTTGACTGACTCCAGCTTTGATTTCTGACTCTCAAAGTCCTATCACTAGTCCTGCTTACTTTCTCCCAGGAATCTAAGGGAGTGCAATTCACACTCCTGATTTCACCTATTGTCCATTTAAAACAAGTACTGTGTAATTTACATTATTCTAATCCAGTTACTTCCAGAAATGGACAGCAGATGGGGCTACAAAAATCATCAAATAAAAATAATGACTACAGCCTTTTAATGTCTGAAAACCAATTTATTCTGAACCATTTCAAAAAATAAATGGGATTCTCCTTTTCTGTTTTAAGACATCAATGAATCTGTTTCATAATGGTCTTTTGTAAACCGATTATCCTTGATAATCTCATTAGCTGAAATTATCTTACTTTTCTAACATGGTAGATTTTTAAATACCTTTTATTTCATATCCCCCTGGGCACATTGTAGCACAATTTACTATTAAGCAAAATAATTATCTATCTCAAACCTTAATGCTTAAGAGTAAAAAAAATCTTAGGGGCAGATATTAAAAAGTACAGGTTGAACCTCCCTGGTCTGTCAGTCTCGGGACTTGACGAGTTCCAGATGAGGGATTTTGCTGTATCAGGAAAGTCTCGGGACTTGACCAGTTCCAGATGAGGGATTTTGCTGTATCAGGAAAGGTCATCACTGGACTCCCTGCTGTCAGCCCACTGGCATCCTGGCCAGCTCGTCACCTCCTGCTGGCCCAGCTACCCTACCAATCCCATAAGGCAGCCATCGCTGCCCTGGCTTTTGGATGCACAAGATAGCTGCATGCACTGTGCTAGGGCTCCGGATCCCGTAAGCAGCCTCACCCACCATACTGGGGCTCCAGGACCTGCCAAGTAGCCAGGCATTGTGGATTCCTGCACCACTAATCTACCACAGCTCCCAATGTCTCCCAATTTCACTGGGCAGACCTGCTGCCACTCGTTGGCAGTGGGCTTGCTCTGGGCAGCCCACTGCCCTGCTAGCCCCACAAGGATCCTTGCCACAGGCCCTCCACTGGGACTCTTTGGTCCAGCAGTATTTGTGCTGGGTAAGAGAATCCTGGGTAAGAGAGTTTCAACCTGAATCAAGAAACTGAGATCACAACTGGAAAAAATTTGGGTATGGGCTAAGTTAAGGGTTCATCTCCTTGAAGTAACTGAGCCAAATTCCTCTCCAGTGGAATTATGTATACTTACACCATGACTGAGTTTGGTGTATTTTGCATAAGTACTCGTTAATAAATTCCTTTATTTATCAAATAAAGGCCTTTTTTGTAAAATTGCACAAACATTCCAGGAAACCAAACTTTCTCACTTAAAATTACACCTAGGATTTCAGTACAGATCAGAGGGAGCTTCAACCCCTTGCCAGTTTCAAAGGCAAAGTCAGCAGCACAGCTGGGGAAAGGTGAAGGAAATGAAACTGACACACAGCTGCCACTTCTGGACAAATTCAACCCACAAGTGGGCATCGGAATCAAAGGTTGCCAAATATGGCCTTGGGTTGGGTACATTAAAAAAGGAGGCAGAGAAGATACAAGTTCAAGCTTTAAGCAAGAAGAAGATGCATTGCCAAGTGAGAGCTGTAATTTTATGCTTCTGATTTAGACTTGAGTAATTAAGAAGTATAAGTTGTTTAAAAATAAGCTTAAATCGGCATTTTATGTATGCAAGTTTGCAGCTGTAATGGGATTATGATGTCAGCAAAGGGAGAGAAGTTTGCAGCTGCACTGGGTTATGGAGGTAGCAAGCAGCTGTTAAAATAGAGAACTAATGGTGATTAATTCTTATTATGTGTTTGAAGATCTTACAATGAGTTCAGGACCCAAACCCTCCCAAAGGGAAAGAAATAAAGGAGAAAGATTTTAAAGGGGGATAGAGAAGATGTTAATGTATATTTGGTCTATTCTGCAGTCTTAAATCTCTTTGTATTTCAGTATTCAACAAATTTGTACTTAAAATTTTATTTCAATTACTGTTATCAGTTCAAAAAATATCTACACTATAAACCCAGTGTTTTCATATTTTTTACTGAATATTATATAGACTAAGAAATTACCTCCATCCTTTAAAATATCCATGCATATTAAATAATCTGGAAGAAATATATGTAAATTGTTTACCACATTGGTTACAAGGTGTGAGGTTTTGCACATACTAGTTGAGCTAGAACAATTGTGAAGATCAGTCATTGATTCAAATTCAGTTTGCTCAATTGGCAGTAAAACGTATATTCTCAGCTGAGAAGAGAGGAACTAATCATTTTGTGCTAAAGTAAACCAGAGCTAGGCAGGCAGAAAGTGGCAAATAATATTCAAATATATTGGCACATAAGAAGCCAGATTTCAAATAGCCATTCATGCACCCCCATTCTGTATTTGCTTTCTGCAAATCTTTCAGCGAGGAAAGTTTTGTTCACACAAATGTCAATGGGAAAATGAATTCCAAGCTTTAACCGAAATTTGTTAACACAATGGAATTTGTATGGGGGTGGAGTAGTAGACCTCTTGCTATTCTCAGTCTATTTATCCAAGAAAAAAGACACTCTTGCTTTAACAGAAGCACCAGAAAAGAGGTACGAGGTTTGAATGTCAAAAGCTATGCTGTGGGTCTCTGTGTTAGGCCTTGCCCCTGGTGTCTTCTCAGGGTCCAAAAAGTGCCTCTCTCCCCCAACTATCTTTTCTTGTTCATTGAGGTTGAGATTATGACTATGAGATGCTCTAGTTTTGCTGTGCAGAGTCTGTGGGGTGAATGAAAATATCCCTCTTGCTCAGCTACGTTGCTACAGTTATTCCTGTGCTCTCTCCAGTCTGAGGACACATGGGAACAGTTCATTGCTGCACCATGCTGGGAAGCAAGAACTTGGATCACATCCACGTAGATGCAGCAGATTGCCTACACAATCTCTCTGAGGCTATGTAAGCATGCTAATGAGGGATTCATTAGCATAAGTCGCGACATCATTACCATATTTTCTGCCATTTCTTTTTGTGCAAGGGGTTTTTGCGCAAAAAGAAGCAGTCACTCTCTGAGAAGCATAAGGATCTTGTGCAAAACACCT